TTTCTTTAAACATTTTTTTCAGGAACTCTTTACAATTAAAGCCATAACCTGCCCGTTCGGCCCTCTATTGCCAAACAAATGTAGTTTCAATCTCAGTCGCATTACTCCATAACGAAATTCCATTCCACATTAATTTATAAAAGTAACTAAAATAAACCAATCTAGGTTTTTTTTTTGTGTTTGTTGCGTTTCACATCAATAGAAATTATAAGAAAAACACTAAAACCCCTCAAGCCTCAACTTCTCTCCATTTCAGATCACTACTGCAAGTACCTATATATGTATATATATATATATATATATATATATATATATATATATATATATATATATATATATATATATATATTCGCCGTGTAGTGGCGGTTAAGAATATCCACTACCCCATATCTTCCCGTGGGTGTCGTAAGAGGCGACAGAGGGAGACAGGCAGGAGATGGGCAGCAGCATCTTCCTGATAACAGCAACTGTACGACAAAAAAAAAACTGCGGTTGCCAACCCGCTCGCCAAGCGTGGCAACTATGGCAATATACCCCCCATGAACAATTACACAAATAGACGGCCCCCAGTCCCCGGCGGCCCCGCTATTCCTGGCTACGGTGGCGACCATGGTAACGGCGGGGCAGGGGGTGCTAAGAATCTCCGGTGGAGGTTCGGTTGCCACCTACGACGACTCGACCTGGCAACATTTAACGCACGCACACTGAGGACTGACGAGAAGATCCTGGAGCTGGAAGAAGAGATAGACAAGTTGCGCTGGAGTATTATAGGATTATCCGAGGTCAGAAGAGAGGGGGAGGACACGGTGATTCTCGAATCCGGCAACTTGTTCTATCACCGGGAGGGCGACCATCTGTCCCAAGGAGGTGTCGGATTTATCGTCCACAAGTCTCTCGTCAACAACGTTGTACAGATTGAGAGTGTGTCGACGAGGGTCGCGTACCTGATACTCAGAATCACCAAACGGTATTCGCTGAAGGTCATACAGGTTTACGCATCAACGTCGGCACATTCCGATGAGGAGGTGGAGGAAATGTATGAGGATATTTCCAAAGCCATACATTCCTCCAAAACCCACTACACGGTGTTGATGGGAGACTTCAACGCAAAACTAGGCACAAGACAAAGCGGTGAGCTGAAGTTAGGGAAATTTGGAGTAGGGCAACGGAACCGAAGGGACCAGCAGCTGGCCGACTTTATGGAGAAAGAGGGACTCTTTATGATGAACTCTTTCTTCCAGAAGCGGCCCCACAGGAAGTGGACCTGGTCGAGCCCCGACGGTTCGACAAAAAATGAGATTGACTTCATTATGACGACCAGACGCCAACTGTTCAGTGATGTCTCAGTGATCGCAAGGGTGAAAACTGGCAGCTGAAAATCACCGAATGGTTAGAGGCACACTGAACCTAAACGTTAAGTTGGAGAGGTCTCGTCTAATGAAGTCAACGCTCCGTCCCCCTCGTGCTCTGATCCAAAATCCCGAAAACTTTCAGCTCGAGTTACACAACCGCTTTCAGTGCCTACAAGATTGCAATGCAGTGGACGATATGAATGACAAGCTCGTGGAAACTGTCCATGCGGTCGGAGCTAAGTTCTGCAAGACCCGCCGCAGAAGAACACAAAAACTCTCCGATCACACTCTTAATCTCATGGCTGTTAGACGGGAGATGAGGCTGCAATCGTCAACAGATTTGACAGCATACAGGCAACTGAACAGACAGATCTCCAAATAAATGTATGCGGCGAGACTTACGCAACTTTAATACTGCTCGTATTAAAGAAGCGATCGAGCGGAACCAGGGCTCCAAAGTCTTTGCCAGAGATCTGTCTGCCAGAAAGAGCCAACTGTCAAGGCTGAAGACTGAGTGTGGCAGCATCGTTTCCGGGACACCTGAGATTTTGAGTGAGATTGAGAGGTTCTATGGGCAGCTGTACACATCATCGTTGGAGCCACACGCAAGTGTGAGTAACGATCCAAGAGCAAGTCTTATCCGACACTATTCCGATGATATCCCGGACGTCAGTCTAAGCGAGATTAGAATGGCTCTCCAGCACCTTAAAAACGGCAGGGCCCCAGGCGAGGATGGAATTACAGCGGAGCTTCTGAAAGCGGGTGGAACACCGGTACTTGAAGTCCTTCAGAAGCTCTTCAATTCCGTCCTCCATGGTGGCACTACTCCAGAGGCGTGGAGCAGAAGTGCGGTGGTCTTGTTCTTTAAGAAAGGCGACAACGCTCTCTTGAAGAACTACAGACCGATTTCCCTTCTGAGCCGCGTCTACGTGCTGTTTTCGAGAGTCATTACGAATCGTCTCGCACGCAGACTCGACGACTTCCAGCCTCCCGAACAAGCCGGTTTCCGAAAAGGCTTCAGTACCATAGACCACATACATACCCTGCGGCAGATTGTACAGAAGACTGAAGAGTACAATTTGCCACTTTGCCTGGCGTATGTGGACTATGAGAAAGCCTTTGATTCCGTCGAAATTTGGGCGGTGCTGCAGTCCCTTCAGCGGTGCCAAGTTGACTGTCGGTATATCGAAGTGCTGAAGTGTTTGTACAGTAGGGCTACGATGGCTATCCGAGTACAGAACCAGAGCTCGAAACATATCCAACTGCAGAGAGGTGTAAGACAGGGTGACGTTATATCCCCGAAACTCTTCACCGCTGCTTTGGAAGACGTTTTCAAGCTACTGGACTGGAAAGGATACGGTATTAACATCAATGGCGAGTACATCACTCACCTTCGATTTGCCGACGATATAGTCCTTATGGCAGAATCGCTGGAGGACTTAAGCACTATGCTCAATGACCTCAATAGTGCCTCCCAACGGATAGGTCTTAAGATGAACATGGACAAAACAAAGATTATGTTTAATGTCCATGTCACACCTATGCCGGTAGTTGTTGGGAGCACTATGCTCGAAGTTGTTGACGAGTACGTTTACCTGGGACAAATATTCCGACTAGGTAAGTCCAACTTCGACCGAGAGGTCAATCGACGGATTCAACTCGGCTGGGCAGCGTTCGGGAAATTACGACATATCTTCTCGTCAGGTATACCTCAATCTCTGAAAACTAAAGTGTACAACCAGTGCGTGTTGCCAGTGATGACTTACGGATCAGAGACGTGGTCCTTCACTGCTGGCCGTATGAGGACGCTCAAGGTCGCTCAGCGAGCTATGGAGAGGGCTATGCTCGGAGTTTCTCTGCGTGATAGACTCAGAAATGAGGATATCCGCAGTAAAACCAGATTGACCGACATAGCCCAACGGATTAGTAAGCTGAAGTGGCAATGGGCCGGCCATATAGCTCGAAGAACCGATAACCGATGGGGAAGAAAGGTTCTCGAGTGGCAGCCTCGTACCGGTAGGCGTAGTGTAGGGCGACCCCCCACTAGATGGAGTGACGACCTGGTAAGATATGCAGGAAGTCGATGGATGCAGGTGGCTCAGGACCGTGCTTTGTGGCATTACTTGGGGAGGCCTATGTTCAGCAGTGGACTTGTGAAGGGCTGTGATGATGATGATGATATATATATATATATATATATATATATATATATATATATATATATATATATATATATATATATATGTCTTTAGCTAACTATATGCATAACTGTGCAGCCTATGGACACGTGGAGCCATCTTTAAACAAATAGGATACAGATATATTTTCTCATTTAGGTTTTTTTATACAGTAAGGGTGACAAACGAGCACACAGTCCACCTGATGTTAAGTGGATACTGTGGCCTACGGACATCTACATTTAATCTTGATTAAGAATCAAAACGCAGATGCAATTTCACCCCTAATGACTAAGATGAAATGCCTATATTCCAGTAAACGGGTCTCCGGTTATCTACACTCACAATAAGAAACACAGCAGCATTAAGGTGCTATTTTACGCTGTTATTCAGTGAGAGCATAATCCTTTACCAGTCGAGTCGACCCATTCATGCTACAACTGTAAAATAGCTGCAGCGTGGCTCTACCACGTATAAAAAAGTTTATAAAAAGGTTCACAATGGAGTAACTCTTATTCTGTAATTATGGTGGATCTTTATACCATTTGTACTGAAACTTAGCTATGCAATCATTACTGCTCGGTGGCAGATGTAGTTAAGAGGGTTGTTCTACTTACCTCGACGGATTCTTAGACAAAAAAGGAGTCCTACCCCGTACTATTTAAGTGAGCCATAAATATTGGATATTACTTCCATTGGAATGAGTTTCAGTTCTAATCAGAATCAGAAATATGATCTTAAAACCATTTAACATACATGAATTATTGCACAACAATATCCAGACTCAGAGAATAATAGCCGTGGTAGCCGTGGTAGCCGTGGTAGCCGTGGTATGCCAGCAACCCGGGTTCGATCTCCGACGGCACCAATGAAATTGTTAATTGCAATTTTAAGTACCGATTTACCACGTGCTCGGCGGTGAAGGAAAACATCGTGCGGAAACCTGCATATCTGAGAAATAAGAAAAAATTTTTCGAAGACATGTGTAGTCTGACAACATACATTGGGGTAGCGCGGCGGTAACTCCTTTGTCCTAAATCCCTCTCAGAAATGAGAGGAGGCCTGTGCCCAGCATTGGGACGTATATAGGCTGTAATAACTTTAAATCCAGAACACTATAATAATATATTATATTTTTGTAGTACATATAAATATTACTACTGTACAGGATTTGAATCCGAACCCTTTTGTTACGCTAAGACAGTGTGATTTACCATCAAGGGCTACATTACCACTTAGCACCAGGTGAGATTTTAGTCAAACACTGGCTTATAATAAGTTTAAAAAAACCGTTGCACTATAGCCAAAGAGTTAAAGAGTTAACCTCTACACCATGGAGCCATGAGTTATTTGACATAAAAAAATTGAAAAGACAAATTAATTAGAAAAAGTAAATATATTCATATACAAAACATTTTTGACAGAACACCATCATGTCATTAGCTAATTAATTAATCATTAAAGGATGTCTTTAATAATGGTAGCCGGTCTGCTCGTCGAAGCTTTGCTGGGGAATGTTCTGGAAGTTTGAAGACTGCTTAGGTGTCGGGTATTGGTTGCTGGGGTCAAACTGCGAGTGAGAGTTCTGGCCGTTCTGGAATTGAGACGGTCTCTGAGCTGGCTGGCCGCTGGGTGCTGTGAATTGAGAAAATTCAATATAAGTGATTTTAATGCAGAGAAAGAAGATGACTAGGGAACTGTCTTGTAGTAGAGGTTAAATGATTATGACTGTAGGTAACACAAGAGGCTGAAAATAAATGTCTTAAGGTTTTTAATAACGTACTTCAAAAAACAAGCTCAAAATTGGACTGTATGATTATTTTTACGTTTATTACAAGATATCTTCGCGAATATAAACTAATTTAAATTATCCATATTTTTCAAAAACCTTTGTATCAGCAAAGAAATCATCTTATATAAGTTTATTTCTTTCAAAATGGTTTTAACTTTTCATAAAAAGTTTTTTTTGTAATCAAATGATCGATATCAAATTCATCAAGCATGATGTAATTGATCAAAGAGAGCAAGTGCCTTCTAGAAAGCAATAAGATATTTTATGCACAGGTTTAGAATTTAATAAAAGAGAGAAAAATGAAATTAAAAAAATATCTATAACATTGTTGATTTTTAAATGGGCAAATATGGAAAAAAATTTATACTATAAAGGTGATAAATGAGCAGAGTAAAAAGAGTCTCTGGTTTTCTACACTAACCATACGCATAGCAGCGTAAAATAACAGCAATAACATTAAGCTGGTATTTTGTGAGAGCGTGGTCATACTTCAGTGAGCTGACCTTTTCGTGCCACTATCATAATATAGCTGTATCGCGGCTCTAGCAAATATAAACACTAAACGTTTTATAAGCTTACCTCCGAAAGACGAATGTCCATTTCTGCCTTGACCGTTAGCGCTGGATGATACGTAGTTAGGCGGCAGGTACTGGTTTGATGTAGCACCAAAGCCTAATGACTGTCTGATCCGGATCCACCATTGGCTCCAAAACCTCTAGCACCTCCATTTAAACCAAAATTGCCATTGGAACCTCCGTTGGAACCAAAGTTGTTTCCTCTAGCAGGACTTGCTGATCCAAAGCTGCCATGGCTAGCACCATGTTGTGAGTCGAAAGATCCCAAGTTTTCTTGGCCTCCGGTATTGGAACCAAAACCTAGATTGTTTGTGTTATCCGGAGGTAGGTAAGAACGCTCCAGGTGTTCGAGACGTCCAGCTGCGCAGAAAGCGATCAAAGCGATAATGATGACCTAAAATACAAAATATTTTAAAGGTAAGTCTAAACGGAAAATATTTATTTCATCATTTTGGCTATACATAGTCCGTAACCGCCCTTGATTTTGAGATTACTGCTAGCAATATACATTTTTAACTATAACAAAGGGTTGAAATTTTTCATACTAATTTGATTTTAATTTAATGTGTGCATGTTCAGTAATGACAGTGTAAGATAATGCACTACCCTATATCAGTCCTGTAAAAGAGCACAAGAAGAAATGAAATAGAGTCTGGCATTGACTATCCATCTGCTGTAGCAGTCTGATAACAACTCGAAGTAATAAAAACTGCCGTTGCTATATCTTCTACCCAGCGTAGCAACTATCCAAAATATGTACCGGATCTTATGTTTAGCTATGAACTATAATAGGCTGTAAAGCATAAATAAAATTAAAAAAAAAGAAAAAGTGTGTTTAAACCCACATTATGTAGACAACCGTTATGTCTGAAAGGTGTGAATTTCGACAACTATGATGCATTAATATGGTTGATTGACCAGGAAAATCCTGTATTCCAATATGCTGTCATAAAAGGAATACATTGAATAGCAGAAGAATATATTGTTTTTAATTAAATTAAATTGTAAACAAAATTATAAAAACCTATACTCATATAAATTAGTTTAAAAAATGTTATTAAAATTTTCCACCTTTTTTATCCTACACATTAAATTTGTAATAAATTAGTACTGAAGTACGTAATATCTGGCAATATCAGAGTTGGCATAAAACTTTATTTAAATAAAGTTATATAAATTTTATAGACTTTACCAGTTTCATTTTGGTATCCGTGGGAGTTGTTGAGGAGGTACTGCCAAATGTGAAGCTCAAGCAAAACTGTGATACTTTGAGACGAATTGACCTATTATATACCTCACATGAACCTAATCCTGATCATCTCACGAATACAGCCTGACGTAATGGTTTTATAGCAAAGATAATGAACGAGTACGTATATTCGAGTTATGATATGCATGGGCGAGTAATTAGTTATTAATTTTTTTTTCGCTACCAAACGTGATGTGACAACCTAACCTCGACTTGTCAAATAATTAATGTACATTTCCAAGGATACAGTATCGATTTATTTCAGTATTGTGATTTCTATTACAATCGACTTCACTATGAAAGCTGTCCGTTATGATATCAGCCTATTGTCTGGTTGAATGCAACGGCAAGTTCGATTGTAATAGTTAAATAGAAGATTATTAATTACCGTATAGGGATTTTTACTGTATAAGCCATACTTAAAGATATAAAAAAGATTTATAATTTTCTTCAATAACTGCGAGATCGCCAAAAAATATAACTTAAAATTTCAATATTGTATTTTTCGTTCTTTAATCTTTCGACTCTATTTCCGTTTAGTACCCTAGATGCTATAATAATACGCTTTAATATGTTTTCATTAAATTAAACTTACCTAACCCCTCCACACAACCAGTATCGTCTTTACCATAAGGGCACACGAAGCCTGTGCCCCTATCATCACAGGAGCCCCCGTGACGAAAGGTTCGGCCTTATTCGCTTACGCTATACAATCTGTTTTCTATTTTAGGAAAATATAACCCGACAAAAAAGTTATAGAGTAAATGAGGACTTTCTGACAACCCTGAGCAGTGACAAGCCACACATTGCCGGAAAAAGTGGCATTTCTTAGGTAGAAAATATGTAGTTCCGCCTTTCGCCGCCATCTTTCTAAACGTTTTTGTCGCCTGTACAGTCGCCTAACTTATAGCCAAGATTTTTTTTAAATTTTCCATAATCTATATGTATTTATAATCTATGAGATAAAAATATAATTTCGTACTGTTTAATATAAATAACACTTCAAAAGATTTAACAGCAAATGATTTATTTACTATGATAATCTTTAACCATAAATATTAGATTTTATAGCAAATAATTGTTACGATCCTTATTTTTAGATAAGTAACGCCTATATTTTAATGATATAAATCAAAAGAATACACATTGATGTTTTGATTAAAACTACTTTTACGGATTTTATCGCGTTTTTTTTAATATTATTTTTACTCCCGACGTTTCGGGCGCTTTCCAGCACCCATGGTCGCGGGGAACTGTGAAAGCGCCCGAAACGTCGGGAATAAAAATAATTGTAAAATAATCGCGATAAAATCCGTAAAAGTAGTTTCAGTCAATGTGTAGTGTTCGCGTAAATATAAGAAATCATTACACATTGATGTTAAACTATTCCATATACTGTCCTTTTTTGAAAGAAAATTTATTTTTATTTATATATTTTTCCTAAGAAATTATCGTCCCTGCTATTACATCTGTCAAATATTTTACCTCATTGTAAATTGGCGCCGGTCCGGGGGCAGACAAATTCGTGGATGCTATATTATTTAATTTATACTAATTAACTATGTATAATAAATAAATGATCATAGCAGAAAAATGTTTTCGTCATTCCCTTTTTTTTTACTTTCCAACTGGGCCCCAACGCTCCAAATTCCTGTGTGGCCAAGGGCCCCGGTATGGCCTAAGACTGTGTTGCACACAATTCTTTTAATTTAAGCAGAAGGATAAAAAGAAAATTGTCCAACTTAATAGTAATTTTTATACATCTACAGGGTACAGATATTTTTTTTAAAAACCTTATCCCCCACACTAGGATTTTCTCCTGTATCGTGGAAGCAGTTTAGAAACATAAATTGCACTAGGACAAACATCCAGACCCGGAACAATCATTTGTAGGCCATACAAATGCTTGTTCCGTGCGGGATTCGAACCAGCGGCTCCATTGCTAAACCGCTACCCCACGGAGCCGTCAAGCGAAAGAAAATCTATTACGCTATTTCATGTTCTATGTGTCCTAGAAAGCAACTTACAAAATTATCTGGTGCATAAAACACACAAAGAGATATATGTATATATAATCATATCTATTACACTGTTACATGATTTTTAATTTTTTTTATTTATTCCGGGGAGTGTGCGTAGGAAACAATCAGACAGTTGGCAGATCTTCACCCCTTCGTTGTCTATACTTCTCTGTCGATTACTAACTGGGTTTCTTTAAGGTAAGAGTATTTTTTTAAAACTGAAGGTTTTACAAACAAACTTACATTGCACTTGATGGCAATAGTCTACAGATGCGCATTGACACTTGCAGCCAACTTCAAACTAAGAAAGCTTCAGATGAGTTGTCACCTCTGAGGTGCTAAGCACAGTAGTGCAGGTACTAGCCAACCAGACTCCTAGCCACCACCACAAAAGGACTCTAACCACCTTACTTAAATTGACTTTTTTAACGTTAAGACAGTGCGATTTACCATCTTGGGCTTGTCACTGCTTACCACTAAGAAAAAAATCATCTTTTTGAGAGAGCTTTGAATTTATACCATATTTGATACAACAAGACAGTCGACTTGAAGCATCATCTATGTTATGTCTGGTATTGCCTGAAACAAGTGCACCTGAAAGGCGCAAAGATTACGGAAAATCTTCCATACTAATGCGAGGAAATTCGAAATAAGTATTATACGTGGTAGAGCCACACTTCAGCTGTATTGGTAGTAACACGAATGGGACGGCTCGACCGGGGTAGGAACATGCTCTACCCCACATATACTAACATAAAATTGCATCTTAAGGCAGCTGTGCTTAGTGTGCTGAGAGTGTAGTTTTTACTGGAAACATGGCATTCCATCTTAGTCCTTATGGGTCACAACGCATCTGTATTTTGATTCTTAAACGAGGACAAAATGTTGATGTCTATGGGCATGTCATGTCACAGCATCCACTTACTATCAGGTGGACTGTGTGCTCGTTTGTCACTCTTATTTAACAAAAACATAAAATTGAACGGATGAACGAAGATTAGGAGAATACAATGGCCCGCGTCGTCCCGTGGGTTAAGTAATAGGAGACGAAAAACACTGTGAATGTAAACCTGCCTGCCAAGCAAAGCAACTATGGTAAATGTAATATATGCAAAGAGGCAATCTATAGAGTAGACCTATGTTCAGCAGTGGAGTTTGAAACGCTGTAATACTGAAAATAAAATAAAATGTAGTAATGATTAAATCCATAGAAGTAGTTATATTAGTTTTGTTCGTAACTTCGTTTGTATATTTTCCTTCGATTGTGTTAAGTCGGGTTAAGTTACTTATTTATTTGTTTTGACGCTTTCTTATTTTGTACCCAATTTAAATATCAAATAGTAACAGAATCCAATTATGGTTGTACTTATAGGATAAGTAGTTGAGTAATCGCACCACAAAAACTAAGCATGTAAATTGATGACTCCAACACCGAGGTTACGGAACCCAATACTATATTTTTTTTAAAGAAATGGAGTAATAAATAATTTGTTCCTTGCCTGCCGGTGACGTAAAATAATTCATCATCTCGTTTCTTCCCATAGGTGGCGATCGAGGCTATGGAAAATGCCAAAAAAACCTTATAAAATTTCGATGAGTGGCGGTATACCATCGCGTTTACGTATAAAGTAATCAAACTGGCGACGGGTAGCGATGTCAATGATGGTGGACATCTTAACGTGAAAATTAAGAAAAATCGTGAAAAAAATGAAAATTTACGTGGTAGAGCCATGTTGCAGCAGTAATAGTAGTATAGTTGTAGCACGAATGGGTCGGCTCGACCGGAGTAGGACCACGCTCTCACATAATACCATCGTAAATTAGGAACAATATGCTGCTGTGTTTCGTATGGTGAGTGTAGAGAACCGTAGACCCGTTTTACTGGAAAAGAGGCATTCCATCTCAGTCCTTTCGGGTGACAACGCAGCTACATTTTGATTCATAATCGATGATATATGTAGGTGTCTATGGGCGTCAGCAACCACTTACCATCAGGTGGACTTTGTGCTCATTTGTCACCATAATCCTATAAAAAAAATCCTCCCTACATTTGGAGAGGGTCACGGCTAGCAGACTTTACTGGCTGGTGAGAAACAGAAAGATAATTCTTTTGAAAATGTTTGGTCATAAAGAAGACGCATTTCTTTATGACCGAAAAACCAGTGATTATTTTTATAATGCTGTAAATTGTCATCCAGTTCCGAAATTTGCTCATAATTTCAAGTCTCTAGCTAATCGGGATTCCACCCTGAACGACAAACAGACAGACATACAGACAAAGCAGAAAGTGACTTAACAAAAACGAGGTAAAATAAAGTAGGAACTTGTATTTTGAATTTTTAAAATCATACCAAAGGTACTTAAGTATCTGCATATATATTCAACAATAATGCTAAATTTTAAGTCAGTAGCTATAGTCAATAATTAATGAGATTTTTTAGTCTTTGAACCACATTTATTTGTTTATTTTTTGAATTCTGTTATTCATTATAATAAAATTGTAAAAAATCTAAGGGTTCTAATTGACAGTAGAATGTCCTGGGCACCTCAAATTTAACAGATAAGCGAGAAAATGTTTGCAGCTTGTAGAAGTCTTAAGAGACTCCAAAATTTCCTGCCCATTTCTACCAAAATTGCGTTAGCACATTCCATTTTGTTACCAATTTTAGACTATGCTGATATATATATGATACACTGATATTACCATGGAGCAATTAAACAAGATTGTGCGTCTTCAGAATATATCCATTCGATTCATATCTGGTTTACGCAAATATCAAAATAATAAAATATATAGATCATGTATCGCAATTTCGAAATCAGCTCAGGTGCCCCTATTCGTCTTCGTCGGAATGTTCATATACTCTCTTTACTTTTTTGTGTACTGTTTGATCCGAAATCTCCGAGATACCTTAAGGAACAATATCATTA